TATATACATAGAACATCCTAGAACAGTCGTCAATAACAATACTGGTGTTTTTTAAATACTACCGATTTGTTAAGTAAGATCAATGGAATTACAAATCACGAAAGAAGCAATAATTCTAATAAGCATAATATATAATAGCAAATAAAATTAAGGAAATTTACTCAACAACGCAGACTGATTTTCAGAAATTTCATCAGTTCAAATGCTCTTCTAGAACCAGTCACACAGGACGTACAACTAGACGTGTTTCTCGTCTGTATTTCCAAACACCAACCTGCGTGATCAAGTAAAGGACAAACAAAATCCATTCATAGCTCTATACTATCTCATCTCTTGGATACAGAACACAAGATGGATGTTAGCAAGGCGGCTTCCTAACTCAACTATCGCATAACAACTAATCTTAACTTTACCTTAAGAGTTCGTCTACTACATATTGCTGAGGCTGGCTGTTGGGAACCATATTACAGACCTAACTCATGTATCCAAAAGAAGTTGGTTCAGACACTGTCCTTACCCAACTAGCCATCAAGGTTCTAATGATCCTGAATTTGTTGTGGAAATTCCTTTAATTTTATTTGATATTCCATTTGCTATTATATTTTTTTATTATTATTTATGCAGCTGTAATTCCATCGATCTTACTTAACAAATTGATATCATTAAAAAAACACGAATATATATATATATATATATATATATATATATATATAAATGCAGAGCCAGAACAGGGAATTATCCAAAAAGGTGCTCTTTGCTCACATTTTTTTTCTAGGTGTCTGGAGGAATGTTTTCGATATATTGAAATAGGCATAAGGTGACGGAGATGGATTGGACATACGCTGAGAAGATTGTTGAGTGACGTCATACGGAAGGCCCCTGAGTGGTACCCGAATGAGAAACGACAAGTAGGAGGTAGTGTGAGAAGGAAATGAAAGCTTATATGGGCAATCATGAAGTCAACTAAAAAGACTGCAGATAAAAGGTTCTGTGTTCCACTTGGAGCCTAAGGTAATAATAAATCACTGTAACATTTTTCAATGAACTGTCAGAGGTTAAATATTTCAGTATATTTTTGTGTCTACACAGTGATTCAATGATAACAGATACTTCGTGAAACTCAAACATCCTGCATTCTGTAATGTATGGGATTGAGTTGAATAATATAATGAAGGAAATGCATTAATTAAAACTGATAAAAAATAATTCTGCACCAAATAGTAGCATCTATTATCATGTCATCATTCCCTTGGGTTCCAAGTGGAACATACAGGGCTTCAAAAACACACCTCCAACTTCTTCTGTTCCCTGCTATCCTCTTTAGCTTGGTCCACGATTGCCCATAATCTCTCATCTCCTCCTCCAATGTACACAATCTCCTCCATGTCACTCTTGCATCGATGACCTATTCGTCACTTCATATTGGGATTCCACTCGAGGTTCTGGAGTGCGATGTCATCCGATAGTATACTCAGTGTTTATCCGACCCATCTTCATTTTCTTCTGCATATTTGTTGAACAGTCGGTTCTTGGCTAGTTTCTCCCAGCCAGAGTTTCTTCCTATTAATTCTATCTGACTGGCTTGCCATTTGATCTTCAGCATGGAGCCAGCGAGGTAGGCATCTGTTGATGAAAGCATATAAGTTGTTGCAAATCCTTTCCGTGACACGCTGGTCCAGTTTTTGTCCCATATGCGAGTAGTGGCTAACCTGACATTTGTGTTGAAAAACGGAATCTTGTTTTTAATGCTGGCTGAAAGCAGAAGATTCCCTAACTGGTTTCAGGTTGATGAAGGCGTATCTCGCCTTTTCGATTTCCGCGTATTTCTGATTTGTTACCTCTATGTATTCCAATCTCTCTCATACAAGATACAGATTGACTGAATTTTATTTGTAGTCAAAACCGGTCCCTTGTAAAATTATTCAGCATAATCTTTGTTCCTAATCAGTATTAGCTACAAAATGACTAGAATACCATAAAACAACAAATAGCCGTTTTGTCCCAATCCGGAACTCCTCAGAACAACATACGAAATCGAGCTCAAGACTGCTAGGCGTTGTGAAATGCATAAGGTTTAACACAGTTATTACTGAATGCCATTCAGGAATACTCCTCAGCGTGGAGAAAATAAAAGACGGCATATTTGACTTAGACTGTATTAAACTCACTTTCGCTGCAGCTGACTTGCAACTAGTTTTTATTAGCCGAAATATGATTAGACAATGCGTCAAGGATAGATTACCGCTTTTGTCCACATCTATGTGCATTTACTCATTTACCTGCTCTTGTGGAGCTGATTATATTGGATGTTGTAACCGTACTCTTCGAAAACGTGTAGCTGAACACTATCCGGTTTGGTTATTGAAAGGCGAACGTAGAACTGCAAAGTCGTCTATTTGTGATCACCTGTTAGAGTCTGGTCATTTAGCCCACGTGATTCATCCTTCAAAGTTATCTACATGCCGAAATCGAATCGCTCCAAAAGTTTACGTTTTCTTCACTTATGCATAGCCGAAGCTTTAGCTATACATGAACAGAAACCTAAATTATGTGTTCAAGCATGTTTTGTCAAACCCGTTTCTTTACCTTGGTCATAGTAATGTTCTTTCTAGTTTCTATTTTATTTTATTTTACCACTTGAATTCTTTCCACTTCACTTCACATCCTAATTCCTAAAATTTTTAGACAACACTTGACATTTTTAAGACATTTTTGATATCCATTCACTTATAAAACAATCTTTAATAATTATGTAATTTATCCACTTCAACTCTATCCCTTATAGCATTTTAATTATCGTTATTCTTATCACATATATATATATATATATTGACTGAGCAATTATTTAGTGCCACTTAATAACCTTTTCCTGTAATATAAATACGACTGTACAACTTGAAAATGAAGTCGTTGAAAAGAAATTTCTTCGTTGAACAAAAAAACTGTATTTTTACTTATGAATAAATGGGTATTTTTCGTGATTTAGACTGCTGTCACTGTTTTTACAGCTTTTCAATACAAATCTGAGAAATTTACCTGACACCATGTCACAAATAGTTAACTGTCGGTTTTATTACGATGACAAGATGGAATTAGTCTTTAGATAGTGTTATCCTGTGACACCTAGACACACCTGGTTATCGGACTTTAATGTTATATTTTTATCCCCATTCATTTACTTTCTGAGTGGAACATACGGCTTCAAGTTTCACTGGCGATGGTGTTACTTGTCTTACGGAGTAAGGTTTCTAGCCTTACATCAAACCTTCCTTTTTTCAGAGCTTACTGATGGCTAGGCGATGAGTAGGAATGCGTCAACCAGGAAACGAGCTTTGACTTCAAATGTAGTTGGGTGGGTATTCTAACTCTGAATAACTGATGCATACGTAACCAGTTACAACGGTCTATTCTGTTCTCATCAGTGCCCACTGTCAAAATCACTACAGATAGTTTCCAAAGTTTGACTGTTACAGTAGAAAATTTATGACAGGAAATAATCAATAACTTGTTAACTGGGTAAAAACACTAAATAACTGAGGGAAAAATTACTTTAAAAAATACTTTCATGTTCTGAAGCTAATCACCAATCAAACCCTCTGTCCATTCTAACTATTTGCTAATACTGTTGAGTCCTGACATACGTCAGTTTGCGATTTAACTCATCCACTAACGCATGCATTCACAAATGAGCATCCACTTCACAACAGACAGTCTGGATCCCGTCTGCAAAAGCTTCTTGTTAGGACCTCAGGATATCCATCTAGAAGTCAAACATTAGCTAGCTGGCAATTATTATTGTTATTATTCAGATTTCCCTGGCCGATAACTGCTACCTTGTTGTGGTGGTCGGGCTTGAATACCGTAATGATCCAATATGCTAAACTGACTGGGACTCTGCCCCTGCAGGTCCTATCATGTCAGGAAGTTTGTTGGATAGCGGTTAAACTAAAAGCAGTTACCATGGGGTACATAGGCTCCAGTACCCAATCGGATCAAATGGCGTATTAACCCATATGGGTCACCGGAAACCATGGGAATGCAGCTCCTGACGCTCCTCCGCTGCCTTGTGGATTAAACTCCAAGTCAAAGGCTCGGGAGGTGGTCCCTTAATAAAACCACCTACTTCGGTCTGGGCGCCCGGGCAGTGTCCCAGCCCTCACACAATGAATTGAATGAAGCAACAAACAGTCAATGAAACTTATCGCGTGCTATTACACGTGTTGCAATTTCCTCCTTTCTTCCCCTCCCGATGATAGTTAACGAATACTGTTTGAACTAGTCAAGCATGACTGTTTTCCTTCCAGATGAAATTCTTTATCCGTTCTCTACTCATTTATACATATTTTCTCTTCTTTCTTTTTTTCTTTTGATCTATGTTGTTTTATTATTAGTATGTGGCGCATCCTTCTTGGTACCATATTGTACCAAGATTTTATGCGTTTAAATAAATAAATATATTATTCAGATTTCAGGTATTCTCAACGAGCTTGGCTTGTAACCCTGGAGATCTTGGGTCTAATCCCTTCTGAAGCTATTGGTGTACACTAATGTCCTTTGAATTTCAATAATTCTCTAACATGTTCGTCGGTGGTATAGCGGTTAGGACACTCGCCGACCATGCACATGGTCCGGGGTTCGATCCCCAACCAACGCATTCCTTTACGTCGCTAAACCAGAAAAAATTCTGGTAAAGAGGAAAGGTTGGGCATGAGGCTAGCAACCTCATCCTGTAAAAATTAAACACTGCTACGGAAACTTCAAGCCACTAGCTTGAGGCCCTATGTTCCACTGGGAATTTGAAGGGAAAAAAATTCTCTAACTACTTTCCCTTTGTGACAAAATCTACACTGATATTAACTTTTACCAATCAGTAATGACACAAATGAAAATTCAGACTTTTGAATTCCTTAAATGATCTTAAAATTTCATTTTAGGCGGTAAAAATAATACATTAGAATAAACACTGAAACACTTCAACCACATTTATTAAATTCACCTACTTTTATTCAAATATTCTTCTCTTGTATTGATATGAATACTTTTCGATTCTTGTGAATTCGTATTTACGTGGCAGGGTAAATGATCAATTATCAATCTATTGGGCATTGAATATTGCTGATTCAATTTTGTTAAAAATAAATGTAAATAACTTTTATAATATGAAATACATTCAATTTGTTTTAAATAATCTGAAGAATTAATACTTTGACATAAATTACTAACAGGTGTATCATTATAATAATTACTACTATGATTATGATTCATTGAAATACTGTCGTACTGTTGATCAGTGAACATTGAATGTGTCGAATTTAAATTAACTAAAACATTTGTATTACAAGTACTGTTAGTACATGATGTCTGTGAATTCATTAGAGATGATATCATAAATGAATTCATTATTCTGTGCAAGATAAACTCATATAAATGAAATTAAGGTTTTTTTTATAGGATAAAAGTTGACTTTAAGAGGAGAATGAAATAACCAATGGAATTATAAGGTGAGTGGAAATATTTCCTAGATAGCAAGATTTTTACGCTAATCAAATCACTGAAACTCTATTGGTCAATTCAGAAAACAAACTGAGAAGGGGTAGATTTCTTCGCTCAATTTGTTTCCTTTCTCCTTAAATACTGATTGGATAATTTCAACAAATTGTTCCCCAACATATACTTTTAATAGGTTTTTCATGACACATTTTTTTAAAGTATATTTGACTAAACTTTGACCACGGATTGATATCAGTTAGAGAAGCATTGAAAATCACTACTGGAGTATTGGACAGCTGTTTCATCTTAGTTTGGGAATCATCAGAAGTACGCACCCACTGCCAGGGTTCGAACCCAGGACCCTCCAGTTACAAAACAAGCTAGCTCGTATACCATTCAGCCACTCACTCACTGGGACCCGATTCAATGGCCAGCCCATGAATTCTAACTTTTACCAATTCATGATTTAGCTCGACCCCAACCATTGTCGTAGGTGGGACATCTACCCTCACACGTGATAAACTCGTAAAAACAAAACGAACCCTTATAAACCAAACTATAGAAAATTAATCCGATGCTCGCTATTGACTTGCTACAGGATGGAGTTTCCCGGAGTTCTAGTGAGAAGTTGTGACCAGTGAGGTCCAATTAGATGTCATGTGTGTGGATGGATGTCCCACCTACGACAATGGTTGAGGTCGAGCTAAATCACGAATTGGTAAAAGTTAGAATTCATGGGCTGGCCATTGAATCGGGTCCCAGTGAGTGAGTGGCTGAATGGTATACGAGCTAGCTTGTTTTGTAACTGGAGGGTCCTGGGTTCGAACCCTGGCAGTGGGTGCGTACTTCTGATGATTCCCAAACTAAGATGAAACAGCTGTCCAATACTCCAGTAGTGATTTTCAATGCTTCTCTAACTGATATAAATCCGTGGTCAACTCGTATAACAATATATTAAATAATTTAATTACGGTATTATTTTTTAACTGATGAGGGGAAAAAAGAAATCAGCTAACATAAATAGTGTCTATAAAAAGAATCATTACATTAAATTACATTTCAGTGTAGAATTAGTCACGAATGAACATCATTTAGAGAATCATTTGAAACTAGGGAGCACTCAATAACTGTTTCATCCTATTTTGGGACTCTGCAGAAGTGCTCATCCGTGATTTGACCAAGGGTCGCACTCAGGACCTTCAGGTTTCCAGACTAGCCTTTTGACTATTCAGCCACTTAAGTAAGGATTCACTGACTTTTGTTAATTCATGATATAGTGCTGTTGACAACCATTGTCATCAATGAGCGTCAAATTCACTTCGACATGGAGGACTCCAGTGGTCATGATTTATCATTACAACTTTAAAACTTTCATCCAGTAATCACAAGTGAGTTGGAGGTCGATATTTATAAGTCCTTCCGGGATATAGATCATATTCAGTGTAAATTTCGTCATGAACACATATCAGTTAGGGAATCTTTTAAAACCAAGGAGTGTGGTGTGCTATTTCAAGGTGAATTGAGTGTTCACTGAAGGCAGTTCACGTCAGTAGAACTATATAAAGCATTGACAAATTTAAAACTCAAAGATCTTTGGATTCTAGCCCAAGTAACTTAATAGTCAAAGAACTGGCCTTGGAACCCGAGGGTCCTAGGTTCAAACCGTGTTTGGGGACGTGGGCATGCATTATTGTTCTCATGGTCTACGAGCACGACTTTCACATACAGCACAGGCAATCAGAATTCATCTGAACAAGCCAAATCTATGCGTTAGTTCAAAAGAAATTTGTACAACCCCTTTCTTTACCATGGTCAACTACATAATATGTAGTAAGTTTTTAAAAACCGATTTTTTCCTCCCCTTGTAACCATCTTTTCACTTAGTTAACTTTTACAATTTTTACAATTCGACCTAATTCTATTGACTTGTTTGCATTTTACGTAATTCCGCTGAGTCATCCTATTCTTCTTAGTCATCATTTCTATTTGACAAATTTCTTGATTATATACTAACTTGTTGCTAACGCCGCCTGAGAATCAACTTATTTTGAATTCCGTAATTAATTTTCACCCCTCTTTTAAAACTTAGATATCTTGTTACTAACATCTATGAGCTAATTGTTTTGATGACCCTTTAACCTCTTGATTTTACCCATGCCTAACACTGACTAACTAGAACAACCACATGATTGGTAAAATATTTTGATGTATAAATCTATGTGTTAGTGTAGAGCCAGCCGACAATGAGAAACTAATTGAAAAGGAGTATATTTCTTCGTCGGTGGTATGGCGGTTAGGACGCTCGCCGACCATGCATATGGTCCGGGGTTCGACCCCCGGCCGGCGCACTCCTTTACCTCACTGAGCCAGAAATAATGCCGGTAAAGAGGAAAGGTTGGGCATGAGGCTAGCAACTCCATCCTGTAAAAATTAAACACTGCTACAGAAACTTCAAGCCACTAGCTTGGAGCCCTATGTTCCACTGGGAACGTGAAGGAAAAATTATTATTTATTATTATATTTCTTCGCTCAGTATGTTGTTTTTTCTAAATGCGCCAAAATGGGAATTCTGAAATTACTGGAATCGCCTGAGGCAATATTTTTTTCTGAAAAAGTTAAGTGATTTTACTATTCCATAACATTTATCAGCTGGAAGACCTTTATAACCAGTTATTACTGTTCCACGTGTGCGTCGGTGACATAGTGGTTAGGACAATCACCGACCATGCACATGGTCTGGAGTTCGATCCCAACCAACGCACTCCTTTACCTCGCCAAACCAGTAATAAAAAGCCAGTAAAGAGGAAAGGTTAGGCATGAGGCTAGCAACCTCATCCTATAAAAGTAAACACTGCTAGAGAAACTTCAAGCCTCTAGCTTGAAGCCCTATGTTCCACTGGGAACGTGAAGGAAAAAATCACTATTCCATTGGGTTCCGAGGGTGACATCTCCATTTCATAATGTTCTTTTCAGTCCCCTTTAGTTGACTTCACAACTGTCCATAAGCTTTCATTTCCTCCTAATACGTATGTGGAGATGTAGTGTGTTAGTTGGAAATCCAGCTAGCTACATTGTGTTTGCTGTAACTTGTTCTTGTGGTCCTTACTTTACGCTGATCCTCATTGCTGCATTTAGCATTTCGTAGAATACCTGTTTTACACTAACTGTGTTTCTGTAGGTGATACTTCGTGTCACCTTATTCGTGTCTGGAATTGTGCACATGATAAGCCATCTGCATGCACTACTTTGGCTCATAATTCCAAATTACTTATTCAAGTTCGCGATAGTCGGATAGGGATATTTGGAGCAATTGCTTTGTACTATAAGGACTTTGTGTCTTGGCCATTATAGAACAATGATGTTCAAAATAATTAATGTGAAATTACTTTTGTATCGACAAGCATGCTGCATCAATGATGCTTTAGTCACACTTTGATCATGTATCAAGCGGTCTCATTGTATTCGATCCATGGATTGGATGTCCTGCCTCGAACACTCTAATGAGTATTATTATTGTTGTAGTTTTACTGCAGTTTTACGCCCACATCGTCCATTTTTAGAAATTTATCATAGCTGGGATTCTTATGTTCTAACAAGAACATAGTTATAACAATAATTTCTCTACCAAACTGTTTCGTCTTTGCATAATATTAAATCGCTCTTGGGATAGCTATATGTATTTAAACCTTAATTATTGGTGGAATTTAAAAGCTTGTACAGGGTAGTTTTGAGGCTGAGTTGTTTCCTACCCAACGCATCGGTATATACACTGTATGTTGTTGTTGTGTGTATTAATTGTTGTTGTGTATATTAATTTTCTTCGTTAATTATCACCCCATTGACATTTTGACAGTGACTATTTATTGTTAACAAACATATCGCCACTTGATTGGTAAATTGTTGTGTATTGTAATAAAAATGCTATATATATTAGAGTAGAGCCAGAGATGTGCGTCGGTAGTATAGCAGTTAGTACACTCGCCGACCATGTACATGGTCCGGGGTTCGATCCCCGGCCACAGACGCACTCCTTTACCTCGCCGAACCAGAAATAATGCTGATAAAGAGGAAAGGTTAGGCATGAGGTTAGCAACCCCATCCTGTGAAATAATCACTGCTACAGAAACTCCAAGCCACTAGCTTGAAGCCCTATGTTCTACTGGGGAATGTGAAGGAAAAAAAGGAGCCAGAGATGACGATCTAATTGAAAAGTAAATATTTCTTTGCTCAATCTTTCTGTTTTCTTTGTCTTTCTTACATTGTTTGATTTTGGGTAACATTATAATTTAAGAAACACTAAGGTTCATAAACATGTTGTTAAACATGGTGATCATAATTCAGTAAGTTCTACGTCAGGCCACTTATGACTCTATAGTCACATTGACTAGACATATGACAATGGGTCACTCTGCAGTGATCTATCAGTGTATCAATTACAGTCCTACAGGAGGTCAGCAGTCAACTTGATTAGCTCAATGGTAATGTCTCTAACTGCACCACTGAGTGGATGATGCTGGTTGGAGGTTGCAGATACGCTTCACTGACAAATGGCAATGAGCATAAGATCTGGGTTCAGGGCATCCTGTCAATTGTCACCGACTATCTAACATATTGTGAATACATTTTTATGGCCTATTTATGCAATAATCAATCATGTATGCTGAAGATTTCCTGATGTTTTCAATATTTCATGATCGCTTTTGTTTTGTTCATTATTTGTGGATTTATGTATACTTTGATATACGAGTCACTGTACTATCTGTCAACCTTAATTCTTCTCTTCATGTTGTTACTTTTCACATGTACACGAAATTGTTGAATTTTGTACTTGGTGCAATCTGTTATTCGTTATGTGAACAGCCTACAGTTTATATTGTTGTGGATACAGATTATAATGTCATTCCCATAGA